CCTTTTTTTCACTTTAGCTCCAGCCCGTAGGGCAGTAATTCTATCAACTATTGCTTGAATATTCCACCAGTTGCTCTGAGCCCATTCCATTCCTGGAATTTGCTTAGCACCAAATTCATTCAACAAATCAACAAGAACTTGTGCATTATGTTCCATATTATCACAGAAGCAGAGTGGTCATTCCTGGGGAGTACCTTGCATAAGTTACACCTAATTTCCAAATTCCACTCCTCTCAGAAAGGTATCTTGCATAAGCTATGTGCCCCAAAAGTGGACTGGTCATTTCTGGGGGGTACCCTGTGTAAGTAACAGTTAATTGCCAGAAAGGTGTCTTGAGTAAGTTATGTCTATTTTACAACAAACACACAGGAGTTGTCTTCCCGAGAGGCGCCTTGTTTAAGTTACTTTCCAATGTCCCACTTCTTGCACCTCAGGAGATACCTTGTTTTACACACTTGACAACAGTAATACACCTCATCTTGAGGGGCACCTTGCTTTAGTCACATCAGCAAAGCAGTCATACAGGTTAAAGAACGTAGTAGACTCTTAATCTTTTGTAACTAAAATAGAGCTAACCTGTAACCTTTTGAAAATAAAGCATATTTCAGGAATTATTTTTGGGACCGCAATACTCACGAGATGTACCCAATGTCAAAGTGATGGATGCAATATGATGCTTCAAACACCAGATAAAGGAATGGAACTGGTACAAACTGGACTAGTGGTCTGGCTATTAACCAAGATGGCAGAGAGCCTGCACAACAAGGAAAGTTCAAAAGTTTCACCAAGAGGAAGACCTTGAGCCTTCATCTGAAGACCCTCCAAGAAGACCCTCTGCATGATAATGTGCACGTGCAAGGAGGTAAGAAACCATGTAAATGAGTTCCGAGAAATAATTAGCTTAAACCTGCCCATTTCAAGAAAAGTAATTAATATGACTACTGTAAGTATTAATATGAATACTGTAACAGGCATGCACTGTTCCAACAGGCACACATGTTAGGAGGAGATATCCCCCGTGCTGCCCGGCCCTGTAATAGAGAATACCTGCTTAATGACACTTTGTGGCCATTGAGTTTCTTTGCTTTACAAGTAACTTCTATATCTCAAAATAATCAATTATTACAGTGCACAATTATCACCTTGGAACCAACACTCTCGCTTCTAGGGAATCCTGCCAACTATGCCAAAAATATGTTCCAATCTGCTTCGATGCAGGGGGGAACCAGGTTCTAAAACACTCCCATAAGCCAGGTTAAGGCACAAACGAGGCCAGATGCTGGATCCCAAAACGATAATTCAACTTTGTTTTGGAACACAAAAGAGCAGAGAGAAAGAAGGGAGATAGGACAGTGGGACAAGCTAAGGGGAACTGTTAAAAGCACAGGACAGGAGTTAGCAGCCCCACGAAGAGCCGCTGCCTTGCAAGCTGGTAGATCTCTGCTGGGCTTCTGCCCTGGTCGCCTTGTAGCCTCTGAGGAACGAACCCAACCCTAGGGGAAGGGGGTGGCAGCAGCTCCCGCAGCAGTCCTGCAACAGCTCCCCACAGTCCCCGGGCACGGCCTTAAATCCCCTCGCCGTGGGAGCCCTGGATGCCCCCTGGCCCGTTCACCGGGATCCAAGCAAAGGTCTCCTGGCACCGAGATGGGCCCCGAGTGTCCCTTGGCTGGTTCCCCGGTCTCCAAGCGAGATCCGCCTGGCACACCTTATTTGGGACAGTAAGTCCTTCCCATGTTTTTTGATTGTCACAAGTTTTTCTCTTTTTTGCCCCTCTGCCTGCCTCTGCTGGCTTGCTGGGAGCCTCCTGGAGCTTTTGCAAGGAGCTCGGCTCCTGCAGCAGCCCGGCTGTGGCACCAAGGCTTTTGAACTCCATGCTCAAGACAATGGGGAAGCAGACTCCATCTTGTCATCAGACTCCATCTTCTAATCACTCCATTACAAGGGGTCCTGGTGCTCCTTCCCACCCCATCCCTGGTGTCCCTGACTGGGCTCGGCATCCCCCTCTCCCAGTGTCCTGGTGGGTGGTAGAGAGGGCACAGCCCACTGCTCTCAGCCTGAACGGCACCTCCAGGGAGCTGCAGAGGATCCTGTGCCCCCTGCCAGGTCACCCACCCCCCCAGGGTCCCCTCAAGGCAGGGACAGGGTTTGACAGCCCAGAGCTGAGCTCAGGGTCATCCAGAGCCCAGATAAAATGGGACCAGGGCAGATGTTCAGGGGGTATGTGGGAGGCGGGAAAGGGGTTGTGGGAGCTGGGGAAGGGGATGTGGGAGCCAGGGAAGGGGATGTGGGAGCTGACAGGGGGATGTGGGAGCCTGTGCCACTGTTGCTATGCCACAACCCCCTGCACAAATGAACGAGGCTGTTCCCTGGCTCTGCTCTTTGGGGTGTTCAAGCTCGTTATGAACAGGGAGCAAAAAGCCCTTGCCGGGGGTGCCATGAGGTTTCTTCACCCACCACCCACATTGGAGTTGTCCCACAGATGATTCTGGGGCTCCTGCAGCAGCACCTTTGGGGGGATCAGGATTAGGGGGGCCCTGAGACCTCTCGATGCAGCCCCAGGTGAGCAAAGCCCCTGAGCAGACATGGGTGTGTCCCCCCTGCTGCAGAGGAGAGACCCCCCGGCCCCAGCACCACCTCTGCCCTGCCCAGCTTTGCTCCCTCCTGCCCCTTCCTCTGCTCTTGGGAAAGGGGAGAGGAAAAACTTGCATCATCTTCCTGCTTCCCAGCCCAGAAACAGTTTGGGAGCTTCAGCTGCTGCTCAACACCCACAGCTAGGGCTGGTTTGGGCATGGTTTTATATAAATTCTTGTTCCGGGACAGATGGAGCCTTTCCCTGGAGCAGAGGCCCTGCCCAGGGGTAGGAAATGGTTCTGTGTGGGGAAGGCTGGTGGGATCCATTCCCCCTGACCCACCCGTGGCACTCACAGCCCGTGGGTGAAGGGGATGGAGGGGCCCTTGGGAGGAGGTTTTTGAGCTGCTGTCTCCCCACTCAGAGGGATTTCCTGAAGCAGCTGCTTTGATTCAAAACAGGCCTGTGAAAGCGTGGGAGTCAAGACACCTGAGAGAGAAGAAAGGAGGGGAAAAGCTCTGAGGGAGATTTCTGTGCCTCCACCTCCTTTTCCCATTTCTTCTTCCCCCACCTGTTTCTCACCCCAAAAGACCCCAAGCTGCAGCCTGGAGCAGGAGGAATTTGGGGGTTGGGGACAGTAATAAAATGCTGCATTAAACCTTATTAAAAATTCAAGCATTTGGATAGGAAAAAACATCCTTTTGGGTCTTGCCTTTGCAAATACAGGCACGGGTTTCTCACCTGGAAAATATTTACCTGGGGAAGTACCAGGTGCTGGGGCTGCTAATAACTTTATTTACACTGGTGATGACAAGAATACCTGCTGGGCATTGATGTAGAAGGTTTAGACAGTAAGTACAGAAACACTTTGCAGTTGCCAGTGACTCGGCAGCAGAGTCCACAGGTACTCCTAGTCTGTCAGTCAATCCTTGTTCTGTTTTTGGGATTTTTTCCTAATAAATATTCCAAGAATTGCTCCTATGGGATCAGTTTTGCTTTGCTGAGGAGACATGTGACTTCTGAGGGCCTTGAGGAGATTATCAGCTTTCTGTGCTTTTATTTGAGGAGCACAGGAGCATCCTGATAAAGCCCACGACGGAGCAGGACCTGTGCAGGCCCTGGGAGCTCGGGGTGTTGTCCCAGATCAGCTCGTGGCAGGAGGAGCTGAGGGTGCCCCTGTCCCCTCTGTGGCCCCAGGGGTGGCAGAAGCCCCTCGTGAGGCAGATAAAGTCACGGACCTGACTTGGGGCCAGGATGGACAATTCCTGTGCCTCAAGCCCCCTCTGTGGGGGCCCCATGACCAGCGCTGCTGAGTGAGACCCTTTGAGGTCTCTGGGGCCACAGCAGCTGCAGGGACTCTGCTCCAGCACGGGCTTCCCACGGGCTCACATCCTTCTTTTTGGACATTCCCCTGCTCTGTGGGCTCCTCCTTGAGCTGCAGGGGAATCTCAGCCCTGGTGCCTGGAGCACCTCCTGCCCCTCCTTCTGCACTGCCCTGGGGGTCTGCAGAGCTGTTCCTCTCCCCTGTTCCCACTCTGCTCTTCTCTGCACCCAATTCCATCTGCACAAGGACTTTTTCCTCCTTCAATACATTCTCCCTGAGGTGTCACTGCCATCTCTGATGGGCTCAGCCTTGGCCAGCGGTGGGTCCATCCTGGAGCCAGCTGGAATTGGCTCTGCTGGACATGGAGGAAGTTTCTGGCAGCTGCTCACAGAACCCAGCCCTGGAGCCCCCCTGCTACCAAAACCTGGCCACGCAAACCCAATACACTGCCCAGCATGGATCACCTGGAATGTGGGTCACCAGGTCTGTGCCCAGCCTGGATCACCTCGAATGTGGGTCACTGTGTGTCCTAGTTAGGACAGCTGAGACCAGTTCATCACTGGATGGGTGTAACCCAAAACTGTGTATTCTATAGCCTTCCATGCCATTTCCCAGAAACTGTTTTCAATAGACTATTTACACCCTCTGCCCAGAGCAGCCTGACTCCTCAGGCTACAAAGTAGGTGTTAAGAGGCCTGCCATATAGAAGGGTGCCTCCCTGTTCTCACACCCTTTGTGAAACTCCCCGTCCTGAGGAAAGTACTGAGCATTCCTGCCTGAACTGGAGAATATATAATCTTGGAGTCTTGGGACTTTTTTAACCACTCGTGGGATCCAGAGGAAGACTGTAGATCACTAGTCTCGACTGGACTGCAAGCACCACCCTCGACTGGACTGCAACCACCACTCTGGACCAGACTGCAACAGCATCCTCACCAACAGGTTTTTCCCCCTCTCCCTTTACTTTGGACTCAGGGGGCCCAACAAACACCACTCTGTTCATGCCCCAGGGTGCTGGGTTATACATTTTGGTTTTGTGGGTTAAAACCAATTGTTTGTCTGTATAATCGTACTTATTGTATTGTTTTATTAAATTGTTATTCTGACTTATAATCTCTCTTTTGGGTTGAGTTCATTTTCCCCTGCTGGTTTACCTTTAAACCAGCACACTGTGGATCATCAAATGTGGGTCCTCTGATGGCTGATGGAGTTGGAGCAGCAGATGAAGCTCTTCCCACAGCTGAGGTGCTCACAGGGCTTCCCTTACTGGTGGGTCCGTTGGTGTGTGATCAAGGTAGAGCTCTGGGTAAAGCTCTTCCCACACTCCTCACACTTGTAGGGCCTCTCCCCGCTGTGGATACGCCTGTGCATGACAAGGTGGGAGCTGCGGGTGAAGCTCTTCCCGCAGTCGGTGCAGCGGAAGGGCCTCTCCCCTGTGTGTGTCTGCTCATGTAGGAGGAGATGTGAGCTGGTCTTAAACCTCTTCCCACACTCAGGACACTTGCAGGGCCGTTCCCCACTGTGGATCTTCTGGTGGTGGACCAGTTCGGAGCTCAGGCAGAAGCTCTTCCCACATTCCAAGCACTTGTAGGGCCGTTCCTCAGTGTGGACGATCTGGTGGCGGATCAGGCAGAAGTGCCAGCTGAAGCTGCTCCCACACTCCAAGCACTTGTAGGGCCTTTCCCCAGTGTGGGTGCGCTGGTGGTGGACCAGGTGGTCGCTCCTGCTAAAGCTCTTCCCACATTCCAAACACTTGTAGGTCTTCTTCCTGCTGGGAGGCTGCTCAGGGATCATCGGGTTGGAGCTCTGGCTCAAGCTCTGGCAGCCTTCCTGGCACAGGCTGGGTCTTTCCTCCTCAGAGCACCCTGGGCTGGCTTTAGAGACCCTCCTCCTGGGGTATCTTCATGGCTTTTCCTCCCCGCTGCCTTCCTGTGCCATGGAGCCCTTCAAAATGGCCTCTCCCACCAGGCTCTGCCGGGGGGATTTGTCCTCCGGGCTCTCCGTCCTCA